ACAACATGAACACATTCTTTCAACATTTCACATGCCAATGGGACTCTAAAACATAAGTGGCCCATTCACCATCGGCCTCTTTGGCAGTCTTCTCTGCTGTTGCTTTATGGCGTTTGGGTCTGGGTTTAGTCTGGGTTACTCAGATACAGTCAGTCACAACTCTATCTATTTCAGAGTCTTCCGTGCATGGCTTTACTTTGGTCTGTTTTCTGTCTGAGAGGTGATCCATAGACGCGCTATCATGTTAGAAACATCCAGGAGTTGTATTTCCTCAAGAACCGCTCAAAATGTGTCCACATTAAACCCAGATGGTTCTATATATAGCTAGCGAGACATTACTTACTGCTCAGAACTAACAAAAAGTTATTTCTAATCAGACAAGATCATGTTTGTGTGTCTCAGTGGGATTAGGAAAATTCTCTGAACAGATGTTAGTGAACATTATCACAGCCTCTTGCCTATTATTCAGCTTTTTACTATGCATGGACTATAATGTAGTCCAGGGACTACACCATGCTAACTATGGTGGAACCATCCTAACTGGATCAGGTGATCTTTCATGGCCATGCTCAGTGTCTGTTCTAAAATTAAGTGAGGGCACCCCAAAGAAATACCAATAATAAGCTGAGTTATTATTATTATTTTATATCATGTCAATTTCCTATCCTCTGGCTTTTGTTTATTGAGTGTTCATCCTGAGGTCTGAACTCCTGACGTTGATGTTTATTGCTAAATTCCAAGTTGATGCTCTGACATCCACTATGCCATCATCCACTCGGTATGTGTTGCAGCTGAGGGGGACTTGGCCCTCGGTGTGTTTTCCACAGTCATATTGAGCTTTTAATGAACGATGTCACTCCCTTGTCACCATTGTACAGTTCCAAGCATTCTAGTGTCCATGTGTAGGGGTATTGAGTCGATTGCTTTTGCTGAAGTCAACAGAGACTGGTCTGCCAAGCCTTACAGACTTGGATGGTTGCTTTATTGACCATTGGTTGGTGTGTTCACCCTCTGATATTGTTTCCTATCCTCATCTTAACTCTGCTCATATGCTTACTCTTGTGATTCCTCAGTCAAGCCACAAGTGTGTGTACACAGCTATTTAAATTGTGATTAATTCTTATAGTTGGAACTAAAACTATAACAAACCCTAAAACCTGTTCTCATAACAAAATTGTAAAAAATAAAAGAAATATATCATATATGAATTGTGTGTTAGCATTCTTCTGGAAATAATTGTGCATTTCATTGTGCTATAGTAATTGACTTATTTATATAAACACATGCAATAAATTATTTCTTAAATCTGTTTTGTTTTTTTCTCGCCATCGGGTTACTGTTGGGTACAGGCTAAGCAGCCAAAGGAGTAAAAGTGTCCCATTTATCCAAATACTTGAAAAAACTGAGTCTTTTTTTTTTAGATGACTGTAGAAACACCACAATTATAGAAGAGATTTTAGGGGGAGTAAAAGTTCCCGAATGAGCAAATCACACATAAACATCCAAATAAATAACAGCCAACAATTTATGCAAAACCACCCCGAAATGTACAGCTGAAGATAGAAAACATACGCAACGGTTGCTCTGATGTTCATGTTAAATAATACATTTGATTGTTGTAAACAAAATACTCTTACAGAAAAAATTATGAAATTGGCATGTAGTCATACAGGTACAAATATGACTACTTAAGCAATATTTGAATACATTTTGGATTTGGTCAAATGTTTCAGCTATTTAAACTAGAAGTTTAAACATTAGTCATGTGAGTTGTGTCCACAGCGCTGGCACGCCATCAGAGCTGGTATTCAGAGGCCACCCTCATTTTAGGCGAGATGATTACATAAGTGGAGGAGATGCTGTTCGAAGAGTGACACAAAATATGACTGAAAGGGACTAGACACGTGATATTTCTGCGACACCGAGTGGAGGTGAGCTTTTCTGACATCATTTGTCACTTCACTTTACTGTGGGGCTGTGACTTCCCAGCCTAATTGAAGTGATTTCAGGTGTTTAGTTACACGTGTGGCAGACAGTAAATCGTATTCACTGAAATCTACAGCCCTTTGTAAACGTTCCCATCAGCCACCTCTTCAGCACATCCCGAAGCTCAATGGAGAGGGTAAGTGTGACACCTAGTGTGCAAAAAACTGACAACATCACAACTGTCTTCCACAAATAAAGTGCAGCTGAATCATACATGAGAGTTGCTTGAAACTATCCATAATTGCCCTCTTTCATGAGCACTTCACATCAAATTGAATAAGTCATCCTGCAGGCAGTCATCGTGCACAATGACTGAATAAATTATTCACAAAGCAACCTAAATTCCATATATACTTGACCCCGTTTGGGTTTTCCCATGGCACACCATGAGAAAATTACACTGTCATGTGCATTCACAGGGACTAAAATGTCTTGCACATGCCACTTAAAATGGTAAATCTGGAAGTCCACAGTCAACAGGGGGTTAAGAAGTTTCGACGCTGCATATTCTTGGCAGCTGTAGGCACTTCTCCATATTGAGCTCTGACAGAGCCAAGTGTCCTCAGGCTCTCTGGTGGAGGTTGAATACACCCTATCTGGAGAGATTGTTTTCACAGTATGACAAAAACTAATTACAAGCAATAAATTAATTTCACGCTACGGCCTTAGAATTAATTGCATCTTTTCAAAAGTGACTTGAAGTGATGGCTCAAGCAGCCCTGATAAGAGTGGACATACAGAGTGGGCTATTAAATTATGTTACTTACCAATGCCATCGCTCTGACTTTTAGTGAAGCAGAGATTCATTATGAAAATGGGGGTAAAATCTTGTATATTTGACATGTTATTTACATTTTTATCTTGCCAGGCAGCTTTTTAAACATCAGTTTTGTGCAGCAAGTTGTACAAATATTTTTTTTCAAGGAGCCAACTATGGTTTGAGAGAGTTGAAGATGGTATTTTGCTGCAACTAGGAGTGAAGCACAGTGAGGTATTTCATAAGAGATGCTACTGCCATGTTAAACTCTTTCCTCTCTGGCTCTCAGTTTGAACTAATGTGAGATATTTCACACTCACTCAGTGGTGAGCACCTATAAATAAACTGTGTCAAATGATTTAGCTGTTCAACTAAGTTTCAGTTTCAGTGTTAACTCATCACTGTGAGCATAGTCAGGAACTCTAAAAGGGGGAGCATGACCTTCTGTATCAATATTGTTAGCATCTTATGCTTGTTTTCAAAATGAAACAAGGAATATAAAGCTTTCCATTCCAAGCTTTTACAAGACCATTTTTTTGGTAACTGCTTTATTTTAGGCGCTCAGATGTTCACATCTGATTCACATCCTTAGTCAATTTTTTGGGGTGATTTCAATCCAATAATAATTTTCCTGTTCTTTTTCTTTTTTTTTGTCTGTGCTCTCATTTTAAGTTTGACACTCATCAGCACGATCACATGACAGATGGTCCTTTCTAAACTGTATTTCCAGCCTCAGTTTTTCATGGGATCATACTGACACAAGACATGCTTGGCACTGATAAAGAGCTATGTTTATCAGTTGTCTTTTTATATTTTCATTTTCATTTTCTTTTTTTGCATTTGATTTGTCAGTAATCCAAATTTGATTAAAGTGTATCAAGCTCAGGGAATGAAAAGAGTTTTCCATTTTTGTCAATAAACCAGTCATTCATAAAAGCTACTAATTGTAGTAATAGCTCATTGAAAATAAAGCAGGCCAGACAAACTGTGCCTGGAAAACATGAGCACATTACCATTCACTCCCTGTGTCTGAGTAATATGTCTGACAACATAATCATAATCTATTTACATAACAGAAAGCACTTTTCAATTTTGAAACCTTTGGAACTTTGTGGGAAATGCACACAACTGCATGTGAAAGATGATTACAGAGAAGTCAGAAAAACCTGATCTTCAGACTGGAGGAAAACAGCAGCTGATTGTTGAGGGGTTTGGCTGTGTTGTAACATTGTGTGGCTCAAAGTGCCACACCTAGTAAATCATTTGCCAGACAACACAAACAGAGCACAATGAGTGCTTGTTCCAGTGAGGACATTGTGCTATCTCTTTCTGCAGAGCAAAGCCTTTTACCTTTACAACAACATATCTAAATGATAAAGTAAATATGCTTAAGAATCTATTCTGACATTTATTGTTTCTCTGCAACTAAGCTCATTTATATACATAACTAAGCTAAAAGAGATGATTAAACCTTGACATCCAGGCTTTTTTTACAATGTGACTAAACATTTACAATACCAGCACCTCATTAAGCGGCAGATTCACAGGCATTTTTTAGTGCTGTTTACAGTCAGAATAACCTGGGATTCTGACAGCGGGGGGCAGTATAACGCCACACCCATCCTTTTCACATTCTTGGTCTGGCACAATTCCTTTCAAATGTTGCAGGCAACTTCATAGACACAAAACAGAGATCACACCCAGTTGACTGCAAGTGGATTCATGGGTGGTGCCACAAGATGAAAATTATCGGATACCGACTAGTAGTGGAAAATCACTGAGGGATCCGCATGCTCAACAAATAACAACACTAGCAGTTGGATTCTTGTCTTTATTTTTCTTTACATTATTTAAAAAAACATTCTATCAACCTTAACAGACAAAATCTGCCACACACTCTTAGAAATACCTTTATTTTAGACATAAATGATTTATAGAAAATTAATACCAAAATATCAACCATTGTTTTAAATGTCTACAAAAACTTTCATCCCTACTCATAGTGAATACTTGTCTTAACAAGCTCCCAAGGCAAATGACATGTTAACACTTTGGAATGGATAAAGCAAACTTACAGCTGACAGCATCTGCTTTGGTTTTGAGTGCAAAATACTTAAGCCTAAAAGCCAAGAAATAGAAAAGAAATCTGTCATAAGCAATACACACAAACACACCTGATAAGTATTTTCCTCGTTCATGTTTGCCCGGCTTCTACATTCTGTACAGTGAAACGTAAACATTTATAATCCTCTCTCTCTCACGACTTTCGGCAGACGGCTGCAAGGGCTTTGAACTTTGGATCGAGTGTGTTGAGAAAGTCAAGGTTTGCATTGTCCCCGTACTCGCTGCAGCACCCCACGGAGCCAGCAGCAGAGCCATTCCCCTCATACTCGTAGGAGTGAATGATGTCGTCTTCCATGATGTCGTCCCCCTCTGTCTCGAAACTCTTCAGCTTCTGTATGACAAAAGTGGAGGAGTTTATTACTCTGTGGTGGACTAAGGCTGAGCGATGAGAACGGAGACACATACACAGCCCAGAATATGACTGGCAGCCAGATATTACATGGCGAACAAGCAAGATTTTTTTTTAACAAGAAGTAAAGAAATATTAAAGCTTAGAGGATTCTTTCACGTCATATATAAAAAGATTACTTCTGACAGTGTGGACGTTATTAAACCTCAGAGAATAAAAGGTGCATGGGACTTCTAAACTCGTTTTCGTTGCATTAGAAAAAACAAAAAAAAACACATTCATCCAACATTACCTGGTGCAAATAATTGCCATTTGCTTGCCACATGCGAAGACTACCACCATCCTGGGAGAGGTATCTGCTGTCAATGCAGCTCATGCTATTACCGACGAGCTGACTTCCAGCATACTGAGTATTGTACTGGCCAGAGTTGTAGTCTTGTATTTTAGTGGTGGTAATGCCCTGCTGATAAATTCCATTATCATGTACGCCGTGGCCTCCTATTGTGCTGGAGCTCTTGGTTCCCATCCACCCTACGTTCACCAGGGAGCCCTTTACAGAGTCCTTTCCTGCTTGCTCAATGCCAATGGGAACTTTGATGAGAGTAGAATCCTGAAGGAGAAAACAAGCAAATGAGTAGAAGAAGCAATGAGATCAAAATAAGTTGACAGTGAGTTTTCTTTTCCAAGGATTGTAAGCTCAGACGGTGCTTTTATGATCGTTTCCTCACCACTTCGTCTCCTGGGCCCTCTGTGTTCGACAAGAGCAGGTTTCCACCACTGTATTCCTTATCGTCAATTTCAAGTTTGTCCATCTTTGTTACACAGAAAAAGGCCAAAAGTAGAACTGCAAAGACAAATCAGGTGCGTGAAAAATAAGAATGCAACAACTGCATGTTTTGCTATATTCAGTCCAAAATGACACGTTGGGCATCCCAAGAGTGAAATAAACAGAATCCAAAAATACCATACAGTGTTCTATTATCATTGTTTCCAACTGACAATAAAACTTTAAAATAATTTTTTTTTAAATATAATCTTTATATCATCTTTTCTGCAGTCCACACTCATGCTTAAGTCCCAAAGAGCCTTCATACACAGCGGAAGTCTGCATTACTCTGCTAGAAAGACAATAACAGTGAGGGACTCACAGAGCAGCAGGAGGAGGGCCAAAGGCAGCAGCAAAGCCAGTATTCCCATTGGCCCTAATTCCACAGAGCTTTGATTGGCCAGGCAAACTCCATTCCGGCACTGGCAGATTTTAACTGTGGCAGTCTGTGTGTCGCCGTTGCCCTGGAGATCTCTGATGATTATGGGGACTTGGTGTATCCCTCTGCGAAGTGGTTTCTCCTGTTTCAAAGTTGCAGCTGTGTCTAAATAAAGAAATAAAAATTACAAATAAAACACGGTGTTTTAATTTCTCCTAAAAAAATCCAACATTTCACTATGAGCAATGCTTCACTTTAAATGTATGAATTCAGGATATTTTGCTTTACTTCAGTGAGTCATTCAGACCAAAATTAATAGTAAATAGTAATGTTTCCAAAACATGTCCATGTTTCAAATTTGACATCTGTGGTTAGAGGCACTTAAACACCCTAACAACCACCCAGTGAAAAGAGAGCCATTGGCCAGAAATATGAAGCTCCCTTAGCTGCTCAGACTTGCAGGTATCATGTCAGGACTCACAGCTCAGTGTACTACTGAACAACTTCCAAATCTCTCCTCTTATCTCCTCCCAAATGAAAATCATACTGCATTTTCTGTACTTCAGATCTGAGGAGTTATACAATTCTTGCACCTGCTTTTGCAAGAATTTCTTAAGCAGGACACAGTTTTAGCATTAGTCACCACAAACTAAGAGAAAGCCCACAAATGGACTAACAGTGAAGCCAAAAGTTAGTAACGCCCATCCAACAGGGGAGTTAACGGTTGATTCTGAATCAAACTCTTAAACAAATACCCCATTTTTACATGGAGAATCAAGTTTTTTACTTCAGGCCTTCTTATTTGTGGTGCATTGTTTTAAAAACCTGGGCCAAGATTGTTAACGTTAACCTTTGGACGTACAGAAAGAGATAGGCCAAACAGGTTTTTTGACCAATGGCGGAGGGCCGGGACACACTAGTCAGATTTTCACTGATTGTGTGCAGAAACTGTCAGATCGCTCTGTGCTATAAGCAGCTTACTTGGGTAGTTCCAGCTAAGATTTGGCATGGACCCTAAGGCCCCCAGGCATCTGGTAGAGGACCAGAACTTGCAAACGCACATTTTTTCATTTAATAAAACCTAAGGCAGAACTGTGTTTCTGTGATGAGCAATGGCATGTCTGTTGCTTTTCTCAGGACTGATATTTTCTTGTGTTGAACTTCTACCATAAGACCTGTTAGACAACATAACAGCTGGCACAGACCGTGCATTGCACATGGCCTGAGAAAAATTAGCAGATGATTGCATTCTGTTTTGTTGTTGTTGTCTACACATTTTTTTTTTCTTTTTAATTATTTTTCGAATACTACTTTAGCTTTGCCACTGACGATGCCATCCCCAAAACAGCAGTTGCACAGTTGTCATTTTTGATTAGAAAACAATATTTAACAGAGTTGAAAAGACTACTGGGACAGCTACCTACCATTGAGTTTTTTCACCGACCATTTGCCATCACTGTCAGATGGCATGTTAAAGGTGAACGGGGAAGAATATGGATCTGAGTCTTTGTCTTCAGCCACAAAAACCACAGAGCCAAGCGCGTCTCCACCGCTCTCACACAACACCAGCTCAGAAGGGATCTTTGGCACGTTGTCATTGAGGTCCTTGATCACAAGAATGACTGTTCCTGTTCCACTCTTGGAGCCTGAAATACATGGCATTGCATTGGTTTCAACAGGACCAATTTAGGAATGTCAAAATTCAAAAAGGTAATAAAGTATTTAGTGCGCGTGACATGACAAATGTGAATCACTTTATATGAATCATCCCACAGGTGTTTTCACAGGTGTGAAACAAGGCACAGCTGACAGTATGTTCAGACAGGAACAAGGTTGGGCAGGCATGCCTATTAACCTTTGTCTCGTTATACTGCCAATAACGGAAAAAAAAAGGGAAGACGGTGCCAGCGATGATGTAACACAATAAACAGACATGCCCCTAAACAACCAATGCTAAGGAACATTACCACTAATTACCCACTGGAACACAACGGACATGTCTGGTGAGCAAAAAGTGACAAGAGGTTTCGGCACAGCAAGGCGGGATCTCTTTGATCTCAGTGTTTCCAGCACACTTCCGCTGTATGAACTATATGGTTAATTCACAGAGTTAATTCACCATTTCAGGCTGCATTGCAGGCAAATGGGAGTTCAACGTCTTCCCCAAATACACCTCGGCTTGTGGTCAAAGATCCAATGGCAGGCCACCGCTTCTACCTCTGAACCACAGCCGCCCCATGGCTAATTCAATAAGTAGGAAGCAAGAAAAAGCAACTTACTGGTGTCAACAGCCCTCATGGTGATGTTATACATTCCATTCTTGACAAAATGGGACTCTCTGTCAATTGTGTTTGCAACTTTCAGCTCTCCCGTATTTCTGTCAACGTTGACCCAAGAACCAGGATCTAGAGTCTTGTAATACCTGAGACATGATGGAAAAGGAGTATTACCAGAAAATTCAGTCTTATGGTCAAAGACTGCCCCCCAGTGTTTACTCAAAATAAAATAAACTTTAGTGTTGGTCTTCAGTATTTGCTACAGTTATATCCACTCGTAATACAACAAAAGAGAAGCATTCGTTTAAGACTCATTTATTAAATAAATATTTACATGATGCCGTTGCTGCTTTTGGTCTCAGGATCCGTAGCGGTGTAAGTTCCTATTAGTGTGCCATTTGGTACATGCTCCACCACATTGAAGGTGACTGTTGGAGCGCTGAACTGTGGGCCTTCATCAACGTTAGCGACAGTGACATCCACAGGGACGGACATCCACTGAGCGGTGGTGCCAGTAAGCTCTGCCTCGTTACGGGCCTGAATCTCAAGCTTCACTTTGTCACCGTTCTCATAATCTAAGGGCTTGAAAAACAGAAATGAATTGAACTCCTTGAAAAATTATTAAAAATAACTAATTATTTTGACAAAGAACAAGACAGAACTGACTAGAACTTAAATCATTTACATACATATATCTATATATATATATTATTATTTTTTTACATAGATTATTTTTTTTCTTTTTTACATAAATGCTTTATAAAGACTCACCTTTACAACATACAGAAGCCCTTCGTTTGTACTGTTATCAGTATCAATCCTAAAATGTCCATTTTCATTTCCCTTTGTGATGACAAATTTCGATCTCCAATTGGATGTGTTTACCAAATCTTTATCTTCCACTGGAATTCTAAGAATAAGCTTATCAACTTCATTTTCTTTAATGGTGGCTTCATACTGTAAGAGAGAAAAAGAAAAACAGTTTGTTACCTCATCGGGCAAACCAACAAGACATTTTAAAATTTCCCATTATGCATAATGATGGATTTAGAGTTTTCCTTTTCTTGAACACTCACCAATGCCTTTGTGAAAGTTGGTGGGTTGTCATTGATATCGCTCAGGGAAATTGTGGCTGTGGCTGTATTTTGCAGTCCATTTACCGCTCCAAACAAATCTTTGATCATTACAGTCACCATATATTTATCTTGTGCCTTAAAAAGAAGCATAAAAATATTTAGAAATAAGTTTTTAAAAAATCGGATGTTGAGTTGAATTAAAACAAAAGAAATATAATGTCAAAATGCCACACGGACATAAATAAAATAAATCATGAGTTTGGAGACAGCAGGGCTCACCTCTCTGTCCAGAGTGTTGGTGATGGTGGTGATGACGCCTGTCTCTGGCTGAATAGCAAAACGCTCCAACCCGTTCAAGAGTGTGTACTTGATTTTAACGTGGCTGGTTTCAGGGGCGTCTTTGTCCGTAGCTTTCACCTGTCCCACCGCCGTTCCTATAAAATGAATGATGAAATTCAACGAGCCTGCCATGTAGAAGTTCAGTCACGGAGGGCAGAAGATCAGACTCGTCTTTTCTCCTTACCTGCGCTGCTGCGCTCGGGCAGAGTAAACTGAAGCGGGCCTGCAAATTCCGGCGCATTGTCATTCTCATCATCAACTAGTACTCTAAGGTTCAATGGTAAGTCTGTTGGCTGACCATTCTCTGCATTAAACACGCTGACTTTTAACTGTGAGGGCAAAAGATACACAGATATCACAAGATGAATAATAGAATAAAATTAATAATAGTTACATATATATATGTACATATACAATGTACATATACAATTAATGTAATTAATGTAATTAGTTGTATAGTAATTTTCTTTTATATACTTACATTAAAAAGTGGATATTGTTCACGATCGACGGCATTAGTGACACTCAACATTCCACTTTCCCTGTCCAGAGTAAAAAGGCCAATTGGAGCCTGGTCTACTCCAGGTCCACTCATTGTGTAGAACACTTTATAGGTGACTGATGAATCTGAAACAACCTAGATAGACAGACAGACAGACTGAAGTCAATTCCCGTACAACATTGTGTCTTATCATCTTATGGAGTAAAACGACCCTTCGAATTAAATCATTCACAAAGCTTAAAAGGTTTAGGCAGGGGAAAGGGAACAAACGGATGTGTAGAAGCTGTTTACAGCATAGCAACAATGATATTACCGAATCTATCACTTTTGGAAAAGGCCCCTTCATGTTCTCCTTCAGGTTGAAGGGCGGGGGGCTCCAGCGTCTCTTGGTGCGTTTCAGGAGGCCTTTGCTGTTGTGCTGAAATATAAAAAAAAAACAGCTCATGAAACTCGCAAAGGAACGGGGGCCCTTCATTCTCTCTAATGGTGTTTCAATGTGCTTTTGCTTACTGTCTCCGGCGCCGTTCTGCGCATAAGGTGAACTTCCATCTCACTTCCCTGCCCACTATTGTCCTGCACCCACACAGAAAATGTCCGTCCTCTTCCTACCACCGACACAGGAGAAAGAGCGACTATGGCTCTATTCCTATCGATTGTAAAACTGGGGTCCTTCAAACTCAACACCAACGACCGAGTGTCGCAGTCAGCTGTTTCAACTGAAAGAGAAAACCAAAAAAAAGAAGAGAAAAAAAAGGAGAAAAAAAAGGAAAGTGAATGTCAAGACGAGCTACAGTGGTGCCTCTATGAAGAAACAGAGCATAATAAAGTTATTTAAAGTGAAGTACGGCGAGAACGCTTTCGTACTGAGTAAATGAACACAGAAATAACGAACCTACCTTTTGTGACTTGGTATCCAACCGGAATAGTTTGTGGCACGAGCACGTAGAGAGTCTCGGGGATCCGACACAAATCTACTCGGGAAATGATCTGAAATACAAAGTTCACCTCACAGTCAGATGTTTGACATCTTCACAGGCGCGTTTCGCTTCGGCGAAAATAATAATAATAGTGGTAAATTAAAAAAAAAAGTGGTAAGAATAAACATATTACTTACCAACGCCGAGCAGATGGCGAAAATGAACATATGCGCCATTATTCACAGAAAAACTTGAAGCACTTGGTTCCTGTCCGAGAGGGAGCGAGTCCTGAGTTGCTCTGTCCGTGGCAGAATGACAGCGGATCTCTATGTCCCCGCTGGTAGGTTTGTCACCCCTCTCTTCTTGTTCTTTCACCATGCGCACAGGGGCTCCTCAGCAACTGACTAGTAAATTCTCCAGACACACCTAGACACACCCAAATCTGTCCCCTTTGACGGAGATCAGCAGGAACACTCACCTTAGGGCAGGGCTCGAGTGGAAGTGTGAGTTCATAATATCTGTATCTGCATATTGTTTGCTGAATCCTTATGTAAACACACAAGCGTACTTGTTTGTGTGTTCAAATGCCTGCAGGGGGAATCATCTCATGCATTTTTTTATTTAGTAAGTTGGCATTTTTATCTGGTCATTCTTTGCAAAATAAATAAAGCTGGACACCGAAACTGTGTTAAGACGAGTCTTCCAGGACGCAGTGGCGTTGTTTTTAGGGTCATTTTCGGGCAGTGAGCCCAGTTTGTTTTTTAGTTTTTTTTTTTACTCGTAGTCTAAAGTAAAGTATCTGGTTTTGCTTTACTTCACAAGACCTCTCCCAGGTTCGCAGGGAGGCCGACCCCTGCTGGCTCCTCCCTTTTCCAGAGCAGCATTTCTGGCAGCAGCAGCAGAATTTGGCTCATCGCTCAACACCTCAGGAATGTGAGCATGAATTAACTGTGGTCTGGGGGAGGCTGCGCTCCCACATGGAGGCACTCACTATCTCTGTAAACTACTGATAAAAGTTCGGGAATGTGTCACATAAAGCGTGTCCCAGATTAACCCGCTGTCCCCACGGTTTAAAAAAAAAAAAGTACCAGGGGAAATCGGGGGCTTTTGGGACAGCAACAGGAAAGGTGAGAAAAAAAAGTCAGGAAGGCAGTGTTGTTGTGACTCATGGGTGTGGACAGAATTGTTTTCTGAGGTGGGAGCCCCCCCACAGCAATGCAAACTTCCCATTCTTGAGTTGCTCCCAAGCTACAATAGAAGCTCTCTGTTGTTCTACTCGGGCTTCAGTGTGTTTACAAAGTAAAACAAGTGGAGGGTTATGTTTTCTGACTGGTTCAACCCGGAGACTACAGTACGTGTGACCTTCCTCTCCTGAACTTTCCGCTCATTGTGTCCTTCTCAGAAAAGATAAGTCACAACAGACACATCTTACCTTTTTTGCTGAGAAGTGTAGATATCGAGCAATGAGGCGTGTCTCTTTAATTTAATTTCAGAAGAAACTCTTATGAGGTTTTCATTCCTTGTTCGCAGCTTCATGTTTTGTACGCAACAGTGTCTGGCATTCTTTTAATCATTGTCTGGTAGGCCGATTACATCGGTATGATGCAAACAAGTCGCACATGCCCCAAGGTGAATGTCCTCCCAATGTACAGCAAGTGACAGCTATCATTAATATGACTGAGTACAATCTACTCATCACCTGGCAGATTGCCAGAAAAACAGCAGTGGAAGTTTTCCATCACATGGGTTCTGTTGCAATTTGTGTCACAACTCCCTTGGCTGCCTTTTTAACAGAATTGTGATTCATTAATTTCTGGTCATTTTCACTTATTCACTTACTGTTTAAATCTAAAGTTGTTACACCCAGCTGTATTTATTTGTCACTTAGGTAACACTTTAAATGATGAAGACTATCTCTGCTGTGTCAGCACCTGTGCTACACCTGTGCCACAACGTGTGTCACCACTGGTTGTCCACAAGCACTAATATGAGGTTGGATTGTGATGTAACATTGTTGAAAAAAAAAAGATAAATACGTGTCCGAACAATGACGGCCACAAATCCTAAAGATCAAAAGATCAAACTGCACAGACAAGGGAGCGGCCTGTTTTAAACAAAAGACTGCTCTCCAGCATTTTAGACCAAATTTGCAGAAATACAGCAGCTAAATTAGTTTATTCCTGGACGGGTAAGATATAATCGAAAACATCTTCCAAATGAATCACAGATCTTGTCATTGAAAATAGGATTGCCTAAATCTGAATTGTTTATCTCCCACTTTCTTCTTCAATTTAACCACCAGTTCAGGCCTGTGCTCGCCGTTTGAGGCCTGACTGGCCGCACAGAGAGAAAAGCAATCACTCGCTGAATAAAAAGATTAGCAGCTACGGGTCCAGGAGGGCAGGGTGAAATTTCACTGATGACTCACCTTTGAGAATAGATAGCTTACGATTTATGTATGACAGAAACTGTGGGCGTGTCGGTAGAGCTCTCCATTTGATCTGTGTTTCCTGATGAGAACCAATCGTGCATACACACACGGCCCTGTCTGCTGCTCACTACAAACTGTGGTGGTCCACTTCAGAATTTCACAGGCCTTGGTGGAGTTTCACAGACGGGTGAAAAAACACTGTGCAGAAGGGCCTACTCTGCATTTTTACATGAACATCAAAATCATGAATCAAAGATAAAAAATGTAATCATATACTCACATATGAATAAAGTAATGATAACAAAAATCTTTTCATGAAAGTAACCTTTCCACTTGGGCATTTCCCCCCACTACTGATTTACCTTCTCTGTAAAAATGTAACCACCAGTCTATCTGGTGGTAGATCATGAAAAAAAAGTTATAAAGAAGGAGAAAAACGTCCAGTTTTTTCAGCAGTGACATGTGTATTCAGCTATCCACATTCAGTCTAAAAACTGAGGAATAACGGGGAAAAAATGACAAAATCTACTATCTTACATTGATTCGATTTATGGTGTAGTGCTTAAAAACCCAACCCATGAGAGGCTGTCTGTCAAACTTGGAGCATATAGCATATCTTATTTATTTTCCATATTTATGTTTTCCTATAGCCTACTTTATTTGGAAATAGTTGATTTAAGTAACCAATTACCAACTCTCCCTTTCAAATACTTAAATGTAGAATTGACAGTTGTAGTGACTTGGATAACTTGCATGCTGCAAATTTGCACAAGCATGGAATTACTCTGTTTCTGTGTAACTGGTTGCTTTAGGTTTAGCTAAAACTTTACGACAGTTCACAGTTAGAATTTTTTTTGTTATTTTTGGATTTGCGTAAAGAGCACCGCTGGCATTGTTAGAGGTTGACTAAATTTAAGAAGAAAACTGACTGTTTGAGTGGCAACGCCCCTGTGCCACACGTAACAAATGTAGACTCCTAAAACCTCAAATATGACAGTTCTCTCTTTCCTCCCTCACAAACAGCAGGTTGCCTCCAAAGACCTTTCTCCCTCTCCCTATCCCTCCCTCTCTCTCTACAGCAGCTATCAGCAGCGGTGAACCAGAGGGTCCCGCCCAGCTGTAAAACCTCTCCCTGACTTTCTCAGGGGTCGAAGTTCCGTGCAAAACTAACAAAAGAGCGACGCAAACAGACGCGTTTCCAACCCCGGCGCAGGCATTTAGAGGCTTTGACTCCCAACGATCCATGGCTCCGCTGGCTTACGGCCCCTTTCTTCTAGTGATTTTCCTCATCACTGTAAGTAAATGAAGCGTTATTTAGCTTTGTAAAGTCAGTGGGTTTTTTTTTGTTTGTTTTGTCATTTTTACCAGGCGTGGCTCCTGTTTGGATAAATAGAAATGCGTTCGCCTCCCAGTTGAAGTCAGGTATGCGTCCGAAGCAGCTGCGGACAGGACGAACGGGAGGTCGTGGGACTGTGTCTCATTTCCTCTCCCGCAAAGCAGCGACTTTCATGAATATTTGATATGGAAAGTGCTTCGGGAAGGCGAGGGATTGTTCACATTCTGGTGTCTGATATCAATGAACTTATCTGAAGTCAGTGTGTGCGCTTTTTTAAGTTGTTAAGCTGTGTTAAGTTGATTACATTGATATATGATTCTGTATCAGACGTCCCACAATAAACGAAAAAAATGTTTTTGAAAATGATAATAACATAAGATTTATCTGAACTACGCTTTGACTAAGGTTCAGAGGAAGAACAGCCTGTCAGATTATAACAGTAACACATAACACATAACTAATGTGTGAAAATAAACTTTCCCCTCCCTCTTTGTTAATCCGCAGCTTGTTCCAGTGAGTGGAAGAGGAAATGGTGCAGGACTACACAGACAGAAAAGAGAGTGGATCCTAGCTCCAAGACAGCTCTTCGAGAACCACGATTACACCACCTATGACTATATTGCCAAAGTGAGTAACTCTTTGCCGTATTTGATGGTGAAATTCCGTCAAACCTGACTCAACACCTTTTGTTTTCCAAGCTGATGTCATGTCACATGTTTTCTCCTTGATTTATACTCCGGTAAAAGTGAAGCAGAATTAGTAGTATTTGTTTTTGAAGCGCTGTAAACAGATGTGCCTGTTCAAAGTGATTATATATGATGATTGTATATATATATATCTATATATCAAATGCAGTGATGCAAAGTGAACTGCAATCCTGTGTGCACCAGCTCTCACAAGACCAAATATAAAGACTTTAGAATTCCAAATGGCTTACTGTTTTTGTTGATGTGTTTGTATTTCAGATTCGCTCCGATAAGGAGAATTTCACAAGGGTTATATATTCTGTAACCGGGCCTGGTGTTGATGAGGAACCAAGAAATCGATTTGGAGTTGATGCTAAAACCGGCTTTGTGAAAGTCTTCACCATTTTGGATCGGGAGGATATCCCCATCTATCACGTAAGAGCATTCTGGAAACCTGGTTTTGGAACAGTTATAAGCTGTGTGGTGAAGACCTGACTTGATTTGTGCTTGCTTTTCATTTTTCTTTTTCTTTCTTTCTTTTTTTAGTTAAAAGGCATTGCAAAATTCACCAATGGGACCCGTGCTGAAAACGATATTGACCTTATGATTAAGGTTGTGGATGAGAATGACTGTCCACCCGTCATTAAAATACATCAAGTTGGCTACGTCAACGAATCGAGCGCAGAAGGTATTCGAACATTGACCATTTGTAACAAAAAACCTGAAAGCTTTTGGCTGTATTCACAGAAGTGTATTATTTTGTGATCTTGTAGGTACTGTTGTAATGAAAGTTATAGCCACTGATGCTGATGAAATCAATACACTCCACTCTAAAATCTCCTACAAAATTGAAAGTCGGAGCAATGCCGCAGGGATGTTCTACATGAACTCCAGAACTGGAGAGGTCTTGGTTAGATCGACGACTTTGGATAGGGAGGTAAGTCTCTATGAGGATCCCTTGTTATGTATGGATGAGGTGGACCATTTCTATACATTTCATAAAGTACACTGCATGCTTTTTGAAGTCAAACCATTCACTGATGGAAGCACACCCACATTAGTCAGGAAAGTGCATGAAATGTTTGACTCAAATCCACAAATGGGTCCACTAATCTCCCTGATCTTTTAGAAACAAGACACATACAAGTTGTCTATCGTTGTGTCTGACTTGGATGGACATCCAGGAGGAAACACGGGAACTGGAGAAATAGAGATTAAAATTACGGACATTAACGACAATATTCCAACGCTGGAAAAAGAATGGGTAGGCGTGACGCTGCCACCACAGCCATATGTTCTGTTCCCCTCCAGGTGAGCGTGCTGACCCGCTGATGTGGGTTTTCTTTTGCAGTATGAGGGAAGCGTGGAGGAGAACACGGTCGGCGTGGAAGTGTTAAGGATAAAAGCCATCGACATGGACCTAATTCACACTGACAACTGGCTGGCTGTTTATGAAATCATTTCAGGGAATGAGGCAGGCTATTTCTCCATAAAAACCGATTCTGTGACCAATGAAGGAATCATCATGATTGAAAAGGTAAAGATCATTGGTTTGTTGTTATGAACTGACAATTTGCGTGGTAAAGACTCAAAATGGGAATGTGCAGTAGATCTGAGCATCGGCACCACCAGAAGATCAATGTGTATTTTCCATAAATCCGCAGGCCCTGGACTACGAAGAGGTGAAAACGCTAAATTTGGACTTGAGAGTTTCCAACAAAGCAAAATATTCATTTGGAAGCAGCTCATTTCATCCAGGAATCAGTTCAAAACCCTACCCCATCAAAATTAACGTCATCAATCAGAAAGAGGGCCCACGATTTCAGCCAAACGTGAAAGTGGTGACTGTCTCTGAGGACAGCACATCCATTTCTATTAACAAAGTCATAACTACATATGCTGCAATCGACAGTGACACACTGATGACTGCTACCAACGTCAGGTACTGCCACTCAGGGGGGGGTTAAACATGGTCATAGAACGGTCCAGAGCATACCAACAAATAGATTGTTGTAAACACCACGTAGATATCGTAGAAAGTCTTTGAGCAGCGCAAAGCTTTACGTATTACAAATACAAGTGATCACTGTAATGAGCTATTAAAATGATCTCTCTAATGTTTGGAATTTATTTTTCTTTTCTCTCAGGTATGCAAAGTTAGTTGATTTGGACAACTGGATTTCAATTCATGAAAAAACAGCAGAAATCAGGTTGAATAAGTTGCCTGATCGAGAGTCAATCTACTTGAAAAATGGAACATATTATGCAAAAATCATATGCATCACAGAGGGTGAGTTCTGTCAAATATTTCTGTATTTGACATATCGGTTTATCGTTGGTTTACAGTACATTATCAATAATGTCTCACTTTATCTTTTTTTCAGAGACGCCCTCGAAAACGGCAACAGGGACCATAGCCATTCAGGTGGAGGACTTCAATGATCACTGCCCTCAGCTGACCGCTACACATCAGACTGTGTGTCTTGGGGAAAATGTAGTTTATGTCACAGCTGTAGATGGAGATGAGTTCCCCAACGGAGCCCCGTTTGATTTCACCGTGATCCAAGACAGTCGCAAAGAGGAGTGGACAGTTGAACCTCTCAATGGTAAGTTGGCTCAATGGTCTCTAAGAAGAAGAATTAGTTGTACTCCATATTTAGCACTAGTTCTTTACCAACACTCAGACTTGTTAAGACTAACAACAGACACTGACAATGTGCAAGTATATGTTCTTATTACCTTCCTGTCACTGAATGTGTTTATATAACACTACCTGGAGAAATGTATAATTACAGGATTAAAGGATTTCTCTCTTACACCAAACAAATGGAGCCTAATTGTAGTGGGAATGGCTTGTTCTTGCCTATGAACAAAGAGAAAGAGTTTACCAAATCACACCAGTAATTTACTTTTATTCCACGGGATGCCGATTTTAAATTTAAAATGTTCTTGTCCTTCTTAAGGAACTGCAGTCATTTTGCGTCACCAAGCACACCTGTGGCCGGGCATCTACAAAGTGAAAGTGGACATCAAAGACCAGCAAGGGAAGTCATGTGATGACATCCAAACCATAGACGTAGTGGTGTGCACATGCGATGAAAACATCCGATCCTGTGTGCTGCGTGGAAAACGTACCGCCACATTTGGGGCTGCTGGTGTTTTGCTTATGCTGCTGGGACTGTTGCTACTGCTCTGTGAGTAGACTTCATGTTCATATATTCAAGCTGCAGCATGCATAGATAGGTCACAAGTAAAGGCTTTGTAATTTGATACATTGCAAAATTTAATGTTATTTTCCCCAATAGTTGAATGAATTTAAAAAAAAATATTAACTGATGGAACGTTTGAGTACTTTGAGTAAATGTTTTTCTTTTTTCAGTGATTCCTCTTCTGCTGCTCTTCTGCCTGTGTGGTGCTGCTGCGAGAGAGTTCAAGCCCATTCCTTTTGAACCTCAAACAAAACTGATTTCATATCATACAGAGGGACAGGGTGAAGACAGGGTAATTTTATACACAGCGGCCATACAAAGCACCCTTAAATTGTCGCATTCCTGACTAAAAATAACTTTTTATTTCTTACAGAAAGTTCCTCTTCTTCAAATTCCAACGGAAGTTGAAGGTGGCACGGTGACTTTGCAGGACATCAATCAATTTGAAGGAAAGGGACACTTTGAAGGCTTGGTTGAATCGGGTGGAGTAGGAGGTGGACGAGTAGATGGGGCTGATGCTTTCGGCACCACTGTGACAGCCGAGAACATGCATCTTTACAACCAGTACGGACACTTCATTGGGCGAGACGATATGCAATACATGGGTCAAGGAACAATGCTTGGACAGCACTCCAATTATACCGATGGGGCCTTTGACGGGATGGCTCTCTCTGAGCATTTCCTGGGGGAGTACTATTTAACAGTAAGTATATCTGACCGTTGTAAGGATTCCTAATGTTTATGTTCAGATGTTGTCAGTATTATTGAAGTCTTATGGATGCTACTTTCATTTTTTTTCACAGAAATCCAACATTGCTTCACAGCAGTATTCGGAGAATGACCGAGCCCTGGCGTACGACTATGAGGGCCAGGAGTCCCTGGCAGGTTCCGTAGGTTGTTGCAGCCTCCTGGATAACGATGACGACCTTGCATTCCTGAATGACCTGGGGCCAAAATTCAAAACCCTGGCGGCAATCTGTAAGGGGTCGACGCTTGTGAGCGAATCAGCTGCAGCTGAAGTACGGACGTCCAGTCCCCCGGTCAGACCGGTGTCTCCAGCCAGGCCCTCCACTTCGACCCACACACATGTGCACACGCACTCAGAAACAGTCAGGGACGGTGGGCAGCTGAATACTTTCAAAGCCTCCAACGTGGCATCTGAGTCGTCCACTTTCATCCAAGAGGAGCGAATTACAGAGAGATCCCAAGGATCTGTGTCGGCTCCCAAAGTTCATGTACAGGACAATGTGATTATTCCTAATCCGACTATTCTCATCCAGCAGCCTGCCATGTATTACGCCGCGACACCCATGTATGTGGTTGAGGCCAAGCCCCAAATGGTGCTGGTGTCAGGGGAAACCTCCCAGGCAGCGGGACAGGTGGGTCAGGTTGGGATGAGTCAGGGGTTGGTGCAAGTCGGTACCCTGCAAGGATCCCAGGGCGTGATGCTTGTTGATGGGCAAGTGGGAATGGGTGGAGCAGCAGGGCAGGTGGCCCAGGGTGTGTCAAAAGGAACCATCTCCAGATCCACACAAGTGCTGGTGGTTGAAAATGGGTCCTCAGGAAGAGAGCAAGGTAAAAACCTAGTGGAAGGCATTGTTCAAACAGGGCAGAGGTCTGCAGAGGCTGCCATGGACATGAGAGGCCATGGTGGGCAGTCTTTTTCGCAGATTTCACATGGTTCCACGGGGTCACATGAGGGCTCAGCACTGGCATCCGCATCCAAGTCGATAGGCAGTCGGAGAGTGGTTTCACACAAAAAAATCTCAGTGACAGAGAGAAGTTTTGAGCCCAACACGAGAGCCTAAATTGGCTCTTTTGTTGTTCACACACTGCATGTCAAACAAAGTTTTGTAAAATAGAATGCACTACAGCACATCTGAAGTGATGGACTTTAAATTATAGTGAAAATGGGTATGGGTAATTTTTTGTTATAAAGCTTCAACCAGATACGTCTTCTTATGTCACAAATAAAAAAATGAGTACATCTATGTCCTCCATCTTTAGGGTTCAGTTTAGCTGGACCCAAGAAGGTCCATTCTGTTCCCATATGCCAAGTCCTGCTCCATCTAAGAAAATACAAACATCAGATTATTGATATTCTATTATAAAGTTTATTTTTTTACATTTTAGAAATATTCTAAAAGATTTTCTGTCAAAACATTTTTTTTAAACAGAAAAACACAATGTCCAAAAGCTGGTATGAAATTCAAGTTTTTAACCTGCACATAAAAATGTATATTATAACAATTACATATGCCCAAAGACAGCTTGCCATATGCTAACAAACTCCATTTACTCTTTTTTTTACAGGGTATGTGTGTATAGCTAAAGTCTTGTGCCGTAATTTCACTTTGACTTTAAATGAATGTGTTTATGTGTGATATAACTTCAGTATTCGGATTGTCATATTAGACAAGAACAAGCTTGTAAAAAATTAAATGGATGAACGTTGTTTGATACTACTGGTTTTCTATTGTCTGATATGTATCGTGTCTTGTTTGCTATATTCTGTAGAGTTATGGCAGTGCCGCTGTAAAGCAGCTTGTAAATGAAGGTGTGTCTATTTTGAAACGTTCTCAACTGCTGTTGAAGTCAAATAAATGCAAAAGAAATAATGGATGGTTTCTGATTATTTTATTAATGGAATCTTTTACATTTTGTCCACTAAACAAATTAATTATGTTATAGTTTTTTTTTAACATTGTACAAATGATTATTTTTAACACATGATAATCCCACATGTCCATTTGAAAATATTTTATTTTGTATAAGTATAAAAATCAATTTTATTAATAAAACATTTAAATTATTTTCACCTTTTTTATATATTGACAAAATGCTGTAAAACACTAAATTTGGAAACTTGCTTTGTGAAGAGTCAAATGCACATACAGCGGCATGCAAAATGTATCTGTGATTTTTAAAACATAAATGACTCTCTGAACCTTCAATATTAAAGGATCAAAATGACCAGACTTAAGCCTGATATTCAGGAAATTTATTCATATAAGGGTACAGTGATATTGGGAAATTAACGTATCCAAACCTATAAAAAAATAATATAAATCAAAGGGTGAATAGAAGGCTGAATTGATGTTAACTGGTGTACAAACAGTTTGACAAATATGTATCTGGCTGATGGTTTCAGCTATAGCAGCTACAGTCAGAGCACAAGGGGCTGGGAGGAAGAGGTTCAAACACCCCTCATTCAGGAAGGTTCACATTTCCCTTTAAGTGCTTTCAAGTGAACAAGAGCATTCCTGTGTAGAACAGCGGGTTGCTTTGTATGCAACTCACCAAAATGGGTTCAGTCGGGTCGCACACCGAGAAAGGGGAGAAAGAGGAAAATCAGGTTTCAGTTAGTGATGATGCAGATTAAGCCTAAAGTGTGAGTTTAAACTGACACTGACCAAAGCCAAACGTTTTCTTCTTCTTTCATTCAAATTTGATTTATTTGTTTTTTTATGATTGACCTTCCAAAGTTTTGCGCAATGAAAAAGGATGCCATTTAATTGAGTATTGAATCACTAAGGTGTTTCAATACGTACCTAGCATGACGGCAGAATAGTTTCACAATATTTCACCAGGAAAATAAAAACAAAGGAACGCAACCACCTGTGAATACACCCTGCCAAGACTCACCTACAGCAGCATTAATTATCTAATACCAGAGGAAAGAGCATAATTGATTTAAAATCGCAGGTTCAAAACTTTGTTTTTTTTATCTGGCGAAATCTCAGAGCCAAGATCAATCCAAATTCAAGCTTGTTAAGCATTACTGTTTCAATAATATTAATTTAAAAGTTAAAAACACATTAGAATGTTTATTTCATGTGACGTGTAAAAAAGAAAATCATTCTTCATCAAGCTTTACCTGCTTGCTTATCTTTTTTAAATGTACTTTTCTTCCGCTAAACGTACTCCTCTGGGACATTACTCATATCAAACCATATGTTTCCTATGAAGCGTCAAATGGAAAATACTGGATTCCACCCATATGGTGGGGGTGTGTCCACAAGTATGACATTTTTGAGGTTTGAAGACTGACGTTTAGAGGACAGTTTCCTGCATCTGTCGGAACAGATTGTGAAATGTTACTTGGCAGAAGGTCTTCTTTATTTTTTTATGTCAAACTGTTGGGTTGTGCACCACATTCTTAGCTTATCAACCATCAGTTGTTGTTCTAAACCTCCCGTATTACTTTCTATCCCTGCTCTGAAAAGACTCCACCCTAGTTTCTTGGGTGTGTGTTAATCTGAGGCCTACCTGGAAAACAATGCGAGGGATTAAGATGTCATAAACCGGATGAATTAACCTTAGTCATGTCCAGTTAAACATTTCAGTAAAGCCTTTTATCTAGTTTGTGTAGTTTCACACATACATACACCAATACAGGTATATATGCATGTATATGTGAATATATTTTCCACTGGTACAATGGGGGAGGGATTTTAGCCTTATCAGTACATTGGAGGGCGGGGCAGTAGTTGTGAGTAGATTAAGATTGGTTGAAAAGGACTATTTATGGTATGATAATGCAAACAAAGACGTATACGTGTTTGCTATTGGAACAATGAATATTTAGCTCCCTGTTTGTTGCATTTAAGAGAAGATCAACCAGTGCATACCTGTCCCGGGTGTATCCCACGTCTTACCCGAAAACAGCTGTCCCCTGTGAGCCTGAATTTGATTAGGCACACATAGAAAATGCATGGAGGGATGCATCTAATACTTGTTGTTTAGATCCCACATTTCTGTGCTTTGGGACATGTATGTTTGTGCTAATAAGACTTACTTGACCAAAATAAATTGATATTTCTATGAACTGCTAAACTAAAGCATAAAAGACTCAAGAAAATATGTCTACTGTGTCTTTATGGGCATTAGTGCCAAGAATAGTTTTAGTATTTCTCTAAGCATAATCAATACCTCTGCTTGCACAACTGAATAATGGCAACACCTAAAGACAGCAAAGTATACTCCTGAATATGTCATGTATGTATACACTGGAAAAGTCAGTGTAAAAAGAAAGGTGAGACATTGACAAAATTCAAAATAAGGGGAAAGAGAATCTTATGTAGTTACCCATATCCAAGGCCTACCTTTCTGCATACTGCAGCAAAAGTGATAGCAATTTCCGGGCTCTTTTTAACACTGTGTGAAGTAAGAATACAAGACAGTAAACATGACTTGGATATTTTATTTGAGACCATAGACCATAGATGCTTGTTGAAATGAGTGTTACAAAACTGGGGTTTGGACAAGACTGTAATATTGATCACTGCAAAGCCTTATGGGGAAAAAAATGCTATTGTACCTTACTTTAGGTTCTAACACCACTCATAAGTTTTGTCAGTATAAGCAATGTTCAAATACAGCATTGTATTTGACTAAATAATAACATTTCATCATGGTCTGTGCACTGCAACATTTAGTTGAACACCTGCATCTCTAGCATACTTCATATCATGTCACTGCACTTGTCCAGCAACAACTATTTTAAAGCATGGGTTTGATGCAACATCAGTGACGAACATCGTGGCGGACCTCCTCCTCATCTTCTATTTCATCTTCTTCATATTCACCCATCTCATCTGCTGTGGCATCTTGGTACTGCTGGTACTCAGACACCAGATCATTCATGTTGCTCTCAGCCTCAGTGAACTCCATCTCATCCATTCCCTCCCCGGTGTACCAGTGGAGGAAGGCCTTGCGGCGGAACATGGCGGTGAACTGCTCAGAGATCCTTCTGAAGAGCTCTTGGATGGCGGTGCTGTTGCCGATGAAGGTGGCAGACATCTTGAGGCCGCGGGGAGGGATGTCACAAACGGCCGTCTTGACATTGTTGGGAATCCATTCGACGAAGTAGCTGCTGTTCTTGTTCTGCACGCTCAGCATTTGCTCATCCACTTCTTTCATGGACATGCGTCCGCGAAAGATGGCCGCCACTGTGAGGTAGCGTCCGTGGCGGGGGTCGCAGGCCGCCATCATGTTTTTGGCATCGAACATTTGCTGCGTCAGCTCTGGCACAGACAGGGCACGGTACTGCTGACTGCCCCGGCTCGTGAGAGGAGCAAAGCCCGGCATGAAGAAATGCAGGCGGGGGAAGGGCACCATGTTGACGGCCAGCTTACGGAGGTCGGCATTGAGCTGGCCGGGGAAGCGGAGACAGGTGGTGACCCCGCTCATGGTGGCGGACACCAGATGGTTCAGGTCCCCGTACGTTGGCGTGGTCAGCTTCAAAGTGCGGAAGCAGATATCATACAGGGCCTCATTGTCAATGCTGAAGGTCTCGTCTGTGTTTTCCACCAGCTGGTGAACAGAGAGGGTGGCGTTGTAAGGCTCCACCACGGTATCGGAGACTTTTGGGGAAGGCATGACGCTGAAGGTGTTCATGATGCGGTCAGGGTACTCCTCCCGGATTTTGCTGATGAGCAACGTGCCCATCCCTGAACCGGTGCCTCCTCCCAAGGAGTGAGTAAGCTGAAAGCCCTGCAGGCAATCGCAGTTCTCAGACTCCTTTCTGACCACGTCCAACACGGAGTCCACCAGTTCAGCTCCCTCTGTGTAGTGACCCTTTGCCCAGTTATTTCCTGCCCCACTTTGACCTGTACAATGTGAAGTTGAAGACAATTCATTAATTATGACATTTTGTCATAAAGGCATTATTTGTTAAGCAACACATCAATTGATTTACATGTGTTTAAAAGAACAACATGACCCAAAACATATCATCTTAGAACAGCATAGAGTGGCGTTTTATTTTCAACTGAAGAGAAGAAAAGGTAAGTGAGCACCTTTCAAATGATCTTTAATCAAGTTCTCAGAAGGTAATGAACTTCTTATATTTAAATGAGACATGGAAATTCATTTTAAAATGTTTTCTAGATACCAAACAGTGAAAAACAGTTATCCACACACTAAAGCTTTAAACGTACAAAGTCCAAAATTAAATCTATGAGAGCAGGAGAAATGTTGTTATAGGTTTTTTAAGTTTGTGGTGTAATCAACATGAATTAATCAGGATCAGTAAGCAAAAGAACCAATCCATATTTATAAGAAATCTAATGAAACTAATGAAACCTCTGCATGCCACCAACTTTGATAAAATGTATTATTGTAAGAGACATAACTTGCTAGCTATGTTAAGGACTGTCATGAGAATTAGTTGTGTTTACCTCATTGTAATCTTTACCATGATTCCCTGTTACGGTGTTGGATGAAAACTTTAAATAATAATGCCCAAATTTGTGCGTGCATGACTTTTCATGAGTAAGAAACCGTCAGGAATCAACCCTTGTAATAGTAAATTATAACTGGGATTAAGATATGAATGCAACTTCAGTGGTGCTAAAAAGCTTAACAAAAGAGGATTGATTGTGTGTACTGTAAAACATCACAACCCACTAAACATTAACATGCTGACACTGGCACAGACCTTAAAGCACCAGTACACCTTTAATTAAAGCCTCCCGGCACAGAACCGGCCCCCAGAGGCTTTCTGGTAAAATCTGTCAAAGTACCAGTAAAAGCAGACAATTAATCAAACCGTATTTATATGCCTCGGCTTGTTGTTAAATGCGGATATGCTCGTCCAAGAGAATTAATTCTTTGTACTGTGACTTCGTTGGTAATCAACAGATCAGGTCCTGCTCTTTTTTTATCTTCCCTTCTGTTTGCTCACCTGAAGAGTCCTCTCCCTCCCTGACACAGCCTCCCATGTCCAATCCATCACACCGTTGGCACTTTACTTAGAGACTGCAGAAGTATGGTGCTCAGTATATGCAGCATGGTGCAACGCTCACACTTTTCTTTTCAGGATGTGACAAGAGTTGCTGACATGATGCTGCATGTGCAGTTGGTTCAAGACGAGTGGTGATGTTCATATTTACCCCGCACTCACTCACCAAAGACAAAGTTATCAGGCCTGAAAAGCTGTCCAAATGGGCCAGAGCGAACGGAATCCATGGTTCCTGGCTCCAGATCCACGAGGATGGCACGGGGGACAAATTTGCTGCCTTTGAAGGAGGTTAGGGAGGGACAGGGAGAATTAAGGAATAGAAAATCTGGAGCAAGCTATCCACAGTCTCAATGACAGAGCATTTTTTGAAAGCTAAAGGGAAAATGTCTAAAAGAAAAGTTAAACATGTTTCATTTTCATTCTTCCTGATGATTACACGAACCCTGTAAATGTAGTAATAAAGTGCTGGTGGCTAAAAGGCGCCAGCCAAACTTAAAAGTGTAATTTTTGTCTTGCACTTTACTTTGCTCCACCCTCTCTGTCTGTGACACATCTAGCAAGCAGACTGCTGCAGCATGCTGCAGAGCTTATTCTGGACAACCAGCAGGGCTTTAAAGTGCTGAGCTCTGCAGAGTCCATTAAAGATGCTGTTTTCCTCTCTTAGTCGTACCCTTTTTTTTGTTTGTCGTTATCTATTTATTAATGATATTTGAATATTCTCTGACAGAAAGATTAGTCATTTAGATATTTGATAGCTCACTGAGCAGTTAAGTGATGCTGATGACAGCATGCAACATGGAAACAATGGTTAGTAGTGCTTATTGCTAAAAGGGAATAGGATAAAGGGTAGACAGCTGGACATGCAGGCCCCCTTTAAGCCAAAAATATATGAGGGTTCATTTTGATCTCAACCCTAGCTACAACTGGAATGAAATGTCTGCCTATTTGTACCACAGATAAAGCTTAATTTTGAATGAGGAGGCATAACAAAGTGCTTTGGGATTAATGCACCCTCCTTCGCCAAGTAATATGCGACCTCTTTAATGAGCAGTAGCTGAGGCCATTAGTGCAAAGAGGCTTGTGGGAACACCTTCGACATGCCACAAAAATAATATCAAACGCTGAGGGGACAGTAAAGAAGGGAGGTCAGCTACACAGAGACTGCAGATACCTGTACTCCCTACAGAGAGAAAGACAAGCGGGGAGGGGTGTGGAGAGGAAGGGACACAGGGAGAGATATTTTAGCAGGTTCACTGCCCTATTTTCTTTTATCCAGACACTGGATATTGAGACCTACTTTCCCCAACTAATGTAATGACATGGACATGTGGTATCTAAATGGGGTTTGTTAGGCATCAGGCCATGCAATAATAATAAAGAATGCAAGCATACATTTACTGTATATATGACAAACTGTTCCAACACAGGCACACGATCCCTTAAGAATAAAAAAAAACTTTGGAAGTTGTTTTTGCTACCTGATGCTTCATTGTAGTAGACGTTTATCCTCTCCAGCTGCAGGTCACTGTCACCTTGGTAACTACCAGTGGGATCGATGCCATGTTCGTCACTTATCACCTCCCAGAACTAACACAGGGCAAACACATTCTCATGACGTTTAATGGATGATATCACTTTTGAGAGCAAATATTGAACGAATACAGGCATTCATAGCAAGTGCGTCAGCGGGCCTGGGGTTTTTCTTGTCTGTTTTTTTTTTCTTGCTGCGCATCTGCGCATCTGGTGGCAAACTGACACGCTGCACATGGGTCACTGTCACTGCAGCCACTGCGACCAAAACGCCCTTAAACCCCACCCTGCACCTTTTATTACCCATTTACAGTTGATACTTGAAGTATTTAAAAAGAAAAAAAAAACGTAAATCCAACAGACATTAGATGTCTTTCCGAAAATCAACAGCTTTATTTACCATGCGGTTAAAGACTCCAAATACCTTTAAGATATTACTTGCGATATAATTAAATGATAATGTCTATACCTTAGCTCCAATCTGATTTCCACATTGTCCAGCCTGGATGTGAACGATTTCCCTCATGTTGCCTTGATGTTGTGTGCAGAGAGATTCCTTGTAGTCGACCTAGACAGCGTCCGCTTCTCAGTGGGATTCTGTTGCGTTTCTCAAAATCAGCACTTGCCTCATGTCTCGGTTGAGCGTTGACCCGGCGAGATAGATAAACGTGCTGCTGGTCAGATGACGTAGAGCACGGCGCAGCATCCCCGTCAGCCAATAGGAGCGCCCCGGTTTGATGCAGTGGACCAGAGAATCATGCCGCATCATCCTCCTGACATCACCCTGTCCCATGCGGGGAAGATTTTGCCTCTTTTGGCTATTTTGAGGTGGCTCCGTGCAATTCAGGTACTAGTTTTATCGTCTGGGAAGAGTGACTTGCTGAGAAATAATGAAGGATTGTAGGTAGGTACTACACCTGAATGGAATGTTAAAAAGGATTCCCAAAAAATAACCCTCTTTTTCAAACACTTAGCATAATGGGAGGTAGTTTTGGTGATTTAATGCTAGGCTGTGACAGAAAAAGGGCACACAGCTGGAGCATGATTGACCTAAAGGGGGGTTGAAAAGAGCTGAGTCAGCCTTAGGCAGCAAGCTGTTTTGCTCAGTCTTCGCCGCAATGTTTACTGTCTGATTGTCAGGCTGTTAGGTTGAATGAAAACTAATCTCCCCCAGAAAGAGAAAAAAAAAGCTGAATTTTTTTTTAGATATTGATGGTCATAGAACAGCAACATGGAATGCTTAAATACAGTCTCAAAGAATACTAATTCAAAATGCGTATGTAGCAAAATTACTGTCACCCTTTAAAACTAGGTGGCGACAGCTAAATTATTGCCCTCATTTTGCATCTTACCATAGACGGCACTTTCCCACGGATGTGTCCAAGGCAACGTTTGAATGTAGGTGGTCTAAAGTCATGATTAGCACATGAACAGAAGTACATTATCCCATCAATTCACTGAGCACTAGAAAATCATGTGTTCATAAACTGTCTTTCTTTGGTTTTCAAATTACCCATAAATAAATTATGTAAGCCTATCAGTAGAATTTAAAGGCCAATACTATAGATCCAAACACATATCTTGATAAACCGATGCCTCCATGTATGGGAGTAACCGCAGAGAACCTGAGTAGGTGGCCGGTTATGGAGCAAAGGTGGTCTGCAACTTCGAATTAGATGAAAACATTTCAGTTTCCAAAAGTCCAAGTAATTCTACAGAAAGCCATCTTGTACTCCAAGGAAATCCCAAAATCTCCAGATTTTCTTGAGGTTCAACAGTAGTTTGTTCATTTCACATATGGTTTCCATAACTTAAGGATGGCTGATGGCTTGTAATTATTTTTTTCCCCCTATAAATCTGTTCTTTGTTACTACTGCCTTGATACTGAAGTGAAAAACCTTTTACATGGTATCAACTTTTGATGAGACCGTCAAAGCCCTACTATAAGATTAAAAAGTCACAGATAGGCATATTTGATCAATAAATAGTGGTTTATTTTAACAACAGGTATGGCTTATGTACAAGTGCATTATGTATATTAAAACAACAAGAAAATGAAACCAAACAAGTAGGACTTATAAATGTACAATCCATGGTTTTTACATTCATTCAAATCTCCAGTCACAGAGATTTTGAGTCGCTCAGCTGAGAGAAGCAGAACCTGAACTGTATGCACGGAACTTCATGTCTCTGAGACTTTTATTTGCCAGGTTTCAAAGAAATGTCACCAGTCCATGCAGTGATTTGCAATCCTTCACCTTGTGAAAACTGGACACTTCAAGGCATTATTATTTACTAGTCCCAATAATCAATGCTCCTTTTTTCTCTTTTCCAAAAAAGAATATCTGCCAATTTACCCTGTCTCTGGTGCTGACATAGCTCTAAATTGCTTTCACCGACCTTTATTTCAAACCCCCTCCAAATAAAATTGAACGAAGTGCATACTAAACAATGTAATCTCTCATCTCAGCACCTAAAAAGCTGCATGGCCTAAAGTGGGAGTAACAGATCACAGAGGAGACACTGGTTGCGTTGTGCTGCAACTTTACACTGTTGCTGGATAAGGTTTGGGAGATCCACAGTTTCAGAACTGCAGTGTGCACACTGACAAACACCAACGCTCACAGACAATGAAGACTGAATTACGGGACTGCAGACAACAGCAGTCATGAGTTTTTCATGGAATCAAACATCAATTCCACCCCTCAAATGTGAATGTACTGCAAAAAGTCCATATGTAAATAGAAGTTTCCATTTTGTCTTTCATTTTCCCTTTCTTTTTTTTTCTTTTTCTTTTTTTTCAATCAACTATGTGACACCAAATCGAACACCACATGACTGCAGGTCATTGTGCTTAGAGGTGCAGTAGCACAGCATACATATGTTTGACATATATCACCACATGAATGTCTCAGTACTACAAATCTGTTAGAAGACCACCCTGATTATTTCAACAACTGAACTTTCACGATTTGATCAAAGTTGCATTTAAGAATCAAGACACTGAAGCTCATCCAATCATCCAAATGCCATCCATGCAACCTTTTGCATGAGCACACAGTCTATAAATGAGCAAAGGAGTGAGACATTATTTATAGTTATGTACCAAAAGATGGTGAAAGGAAATTTAACCAGCCTGGTTATGTGTGCGCAGCTGCTGAGTGATACCTTTGCAGGTCACCGATACTCCCTGGATATATGATCTGAGTTGAATCACATTTGAAATGAGAAGACATCATCCAGTTGGCTCTAAAGTCATACAGTACTGTGTAGTTACCATCATTATTATTATTATTGTTGTTGTTATTCATCGTCATTATTGTGAGGCTTGTTGTAAACAGTTGTATATCCATCATCACACATCCTTCTTCAGACAAATATTACAACTTCAAATACACTAAGTACTACAACTATCAAGTTACACATGTATTCAAGTCAAGTATTCTGCCGTCCAAAAGTGGACATGAACTTTGGAAGAAAAAGTGCTTCCTTAACAGAGAGTCCGTCATTTTACAAATATCGACATGTTTGTCTACCTATTACATCTTTTTTCAGAATGCCATTTTTGACAAATGCGTAGCATCTTAAGTTGAGTTTTGCTGTTTGGATGTGACTGAATAAAAACACTGAAATACATTGACTGTGTTAATGTCAAAATATGATTTGAAAAAATAAAAAATACTGAATTTGGTGACAGAGCGACAGTTGGTGATTGCATCCAACATTTGCAGGTTTCAAAAACAGCTCTTTGTCTTTTTCAAGATTTGATAGTTTTGTTGACACCTTCACAATAATATTCATGCTTTGTCCCCTCTTCACAAAACAAAGTGCCACCACAATAAGGTGTCACAAATACTGTAAGAATTAAGCATAGCTCTGTACAATAAGGGCACACCATGGGAGGTTTTCAAAAATAATGCTTTGAATTTAAAACAAACAATTCTGAGTTAAGCTCAACAGCTAATTATCCATTTGCTTACATGATCACATTTACAAAAAGAATTGCATACAAGAAATTTCATTGGCTGGAATAACTGGAAAACTAAAGTTTTTTTTTTTTTCAGATTTTTCATTAAAATAACTGCACATAGAATAACCCATGTGGTGACTAATTAGTTAACATAAGCTAGATCTCACCTCTAAATAATCAAATGGCCATACAGTTTTTTTCTGTATCCTTCTTTTATATTGTGAGTCCTCAAAAAGAGTATTTTACAGTATTTCCCCAAACAGGCAAATACTGTAATGCTGTTAACATTTTGGCACTATGTCTACAAGTAGTTTTGGTCAGAGTAGTTTTTTGGCTTGCATGTGCAAAAAAAATTAAACAACCAAAAAAAGGTTAGAGAAAAAAAGGAAAGAAAAAATATATCAAATTTGAATTGTTTACCTTTTAAATTGTAAAACATTGTAACATTCAGATTTTTCTCTCTGTATAAGGCGACGTTTCTTTTTTGTACAAGTACATGAGATGATCACTTTATTTGAGTAAGTACCATTCGATTCTTGTTTTCAGTGTTTATTTTAGCGTCATTGCATTCTTCACCAGTGCCGATGACACGTCCCAGTGATTGTGGGCATTGTGTTGAAAATGACGGACAGCCATTTTCCATTAATTTAAGTCAGAGTAGTCTATAACGCTGGTGATTTCCAGTGACATTCCTAAAAAAATTACAGTCACACTGTCTCAAACCAGCCAGTGGCACTCTTCACTTGTGTGTTCTCATTTATTGGCTAAATGCACATTGAAAGGAGGAGGGTACAGGTGGGGCTTCCTGCTGCGTAATTTAATGTGGGTGGTGGCCTCCTGGTGCAACACTTAAAGCTTCATATTCTGGCTGCAGCACCGAATCACGACAACAATGTGCTACTGACAATGTTGTTTTCTGCGCTGGCACTTTCCCTCTCCAGGATAGAGAGGACACCAGAGTCTATAGGGGAGGACACGGTACAGTCCATTAAAGACGGGGGATCTGCTGCTTCTGTACAGGCTGAACCCGCAATGGAACTTGGTACCGAATCCAAGTCAAGCGCGACTACAGGTTCTGGTAAAATATCTGACACAGTCAGGGTGCTTGGTTCTGGAATCCAAGTATTCACAATGTCTGTGACAGGGAGAACTGGAGGGGGCTGTGAATTGGCGGCTGTGTGTGCTGTAGGGGGAGTGGAAGAGTCCACTGAGGTCACATGGCCTGAGTCAATAGGCGGAGGAGATGTGGGCGATGGTGAAGCAATGTCAGAATTTGAGGGAGTAGAAGAATGAGTAGTTCCATCTTTAACACATAAAGAGGTAGAATCTACCTGAGCAGACTGGGAGTCTCTAGTGGAAGGGGTAAATGTTTCTTCATCTGCCATTTCTACCTGGAGGGGAATGTCAGAGTTTGGGGTAATGGAGGATGGAGGGTCGGAGGGAATGTCACAGTCTGTAACAGGAAGAGCAGAGGGAGGGACACCATCTTGCACTGATGGTGTAGACGAGTCTGCTGAAGTGCACTGAGCATCCCCGGGCAAAGACGCATCAGATGTGATCATAGTGTCAACATCGTTATCCGAGGGCTTCGGCGACTCTAATATAGAGCTGGGTGGCGGCTCCAGAATGGGTGTAGTGCTGATGAGTAAAGAGGAGGGCAACATTTGGGGCTTGGAGGGAGAGGGAGAATCACATGAAGCAGCAGGGCCTGAGCTATCTATGCTTTCAGAGGAAGGAACAATGTCGTTTATCTCAAGCGTGGCACAATCCGTCATCGGCTCAACGGGGCCGAGGACTATTGCATGGGTTTCTTCTGCATCGGCCAGAAGTGGGTCTGTGATGCATGGGGCTTTGTGTAAAGGACTGGAAGACAACAGGTGGTCTTTGCTAGCGGCTATGACGCCATCTTTACCCAGGGCTGTTTCAGGAGTGGGGGTTGATGACGAAACGGAGTGACCGCTGGGCTCTTTGGGGTCAGGCTTAACAGGGTGACGCTCCAAGAGAATGGAGGTGGACACTTCCCCAGCATATGGGACCGTCAAGTCCACAGCTGAAGAGGCAGTAGAGTCCATAGTTGAAACTGCTGTGGCTGCTACCTCATGGAGGGGGGTATCGTGCACTCTGGTGTAGTCCCTGCCGCTCTCGGACAGGGCCAGTAGGTGCTGCTCTCCCGGTTTCCTCGGTGGAAGTAGAGGCGGACGGGTGTAGCTCTCACTGTCGGCCAAGCTCTCGGGGAGAGGCTGATAACGTGTCTCGGGTAACAGGAGAATGCAAATGATGCAAATGAGAGTGCAACAGGCAAAAATGATGTGGTGAAGGAAGTAGCCCTTTTGATTGTGAAGTTCCATGATGGGTGCAGTCAGCATGCCGAAGCCAGCACTGGCTAGGACCAGTCCAAGACCACCACCCCTATGAGCAGACAAAAAAGGTCAAATATAGGAATAATCACATATATCTTCAGAGCTCCTATGGATACTGTCAACAAACAGTCAAGTTTGGTTGACTGAATGAATGAAGTTAGTCAAAACATCATATCCTAAATGCTTACCTATATCAATGACATGAGGAGAAAGCTCACATTTCTGTATCATTCCACTCTGTCATTTTACCAGGCGGCAGCAGAGAGTGCTGCAGTTGTACAAAAAAATATCTTCTTCTAAGTGTCCATTTTCCTGCTGTCATTACCAAAATATACCACCAGAAGGGGCTGTTGAAGCATGTTTGTTGGAACATGAAGAGTGGAGTCATATATTTTCAAAGGGAATATATAATTTGCACAAGATGTGTTTGGTATTTGACCACAAAGCTGTTGTTTCCAGCTTCTATCATTTAGTATCATAGTTTAACAGGAGGTGGTGCTGCTAAACCAACTGCACAAGGAAAAGCATCTACTGTGTCAGCTACATTATGGATCAAAACAATATTACAGCATCATACAGAAGCCCTACATTTCCCAACACTTGATCGTCTTTAAAACTCATACGCGCTTTAACACATATCCCACCCCCAACATGGCACAATGCAAGTCTTGTACTAGGTTTACCTGATCACAGTGGGGGTGATCTCAGCACAGAAGAAGATGCTCAGGTTGCTGACTGCGTGGGAAGAGAACATACCGATGATGGAGAACGCAATGGAGAAGTTCTTTTTCAGCGTATCTGAGCTATCTGCAATCAAAGCAGAGGACACACACATGGAGCACATTTCACTCGGCACTCAGTAATGTCAGTATGGGTAATGCTGTGTCTCTAAATAAATTCAAACATTTTTCTTTTTCATGGCTTCTTAAAAGGTGCTTCTCTATATACATGTACTGATTATAATTTGACAAAAAGATGATATGTCTGTATTTAAGCTAATTTCAATATAAAGACTATCTATACATGGATCACAGGGAAATTCAGATATGACAGAGCTTATTTCAGTGGCATAGTTTTCTGGAATTTTATACAGCCACCTCAATGTGTATGGTAATCTTTATTTTGAAAATGGAGCACACGAGCAGGACTATTTGATATTCAGCATTAGAAATGAGATAGTGAAGCCACATGATGCTGTTTCAGCAAAAACAAGATATCTTTTCTTTTTGGATCGAGGCATTCTTTGAATAATATGCGAATATATATAGTCAAAAATATGGTGGGACTTCTGAAAGCTCTTTTTTTTTTATTTTGATGGTGGTTTAGTCCTAAAATGGTTTGAACACAGAGCATAATTAATAAGCCATGGAAAGGATGGCACTGGGATCAGCAGTTCTATGATCTGTGATCAGTGTTTGCTCCAGTCTGGAGCAACAGAGGAGGACAGTGCACTCAGTAACAAAGAGCCTCATGCTCGTCAACTAAATAAGTGGAGAGACTGTCATAATCGCATTGAGGACTTTATGACGAGCATCTCCAGGGCTAGTGTGCTCCTAATGCAGCTCATTTTTCAACCACATCAATAAAATTCAGCAACCTAAATGGTTTGAGTCTAGATGTAAAACAATTCTAATCACATGTGGAAATATTCTGAAGCCAATAAATATTATCTCAGCAACACCACTCAGTTAGTGAACAGTTACCCATATGACAGACATTTTATAAATGATAAGTAAGGAAATAGAAAAAAATAGATGTACCTACCTATATTTAGGTGGTAACTGTACTTCCCCAGCACTAGAGATTTGAATACAAAAAAAGATAGGTATCAGTGACAAATTCATCACAAGCACTTAAACAAGTAGTTAAAAATGAGCTTCATACATAAGTCTTTAAAAAAGATTTGTTAAGCTTAAAGCTTGACAAATGTACAAATACCCTCAAGGGAACATGTCGCATGCATAACCCTGACGTGTTGACTCAGAGTTAAACATTAAGTCTTGGTAGTTTGTAATGGAATAAACTATGATGGACTGCTTTGATCATCTGGAGAACCTTTGGTACACATTGACCAAAGCAGTGTAATCTCTAGTGTTACTCTACTAGAAACAACCTAAAAGTAATGTAGTTCCCAACAAGTATGTTTCACATGTTTTTAAAAACTTCCAAAATTGTTCACTTTTGAAGGCAGCCAAACCTGTGACGCACATACATAAAAAAAAAAGCATTTTTGACACATTTATACTACTGTTGATGTCAGCAATACATTCTTATTGTATTCAACTGTTTAGTTTGTAAATTAAGTGTGACAGTTTTCAGGCATGGACCACATCAGGATTATAAAAATAAAGCAGCCAAATGGATTGAAACCATCATCGACTTAATCACATGTTCTAAATATTAGCTTAAACTAACTAAATGTTTGCTTTTCATCTGAGTGATATTAAAAGGTCCTGACTGAGTTTTCAAAAAGCATTGCTTATATTAAAATAAAAAAAAATGTTTTAAAAACAACAATGATAAAATAAGCGTACAAGGAGTGCAGATTGGCTACTTTGAACAGCGGTCATTTTCTTCCTTAACATTATAGTGTTGATGTTGCATCACTACACAAAGCCTGACAAGGCAAGTACAAGACAAGCCTTTTTTAATGTAAAACTCACTGTTGCCTTTTTGACTTGCGTCCACCATAGAAACCTCAAGGCTGCTTGCTTTGGCAATCTCTCTGAACGAAGTTAAATTCTCACCTATATTCTTTCATAGCTATTTGTGCTTTTTGACCTGTTTTAATTAGTCAGATATATTCATTTGGTTTCTTTTATACTGAGTCGTTCTAATCCAGCCAGCTCACGTATGGGATTGTAAATCAGACATTTCACACCCCAGAGCATGTGATTTTCATATATTACTCACAGTTGAGCAGGCCGAGCTGCAGCAGTGAAGCCAGGGCAGTGACGATCATGAACATAAGAAGGCCACCACGCCGGCCCATCAAGCCTACAGCTGGACACAGTGCAATACACGATGCCACCGCAATGCCCGCCATTGTGTAATAGTCTGCATAGAAATTGTGAAACATAGTGGTATCCTGGACGTCCTGGTCCATCATGCTGCGGGCAAAGCAGTGGTGGATCCCATAACCCGTTAGCCTGGGCGAAAGGACGCAGAGGGACACACAGTAAGCTAAAAGCATCCTGAAAACATCACAACACACAGAGGCACAATAAATGGGAAATTGGACTTGAGTCAGGAACAACAGAGAAAACCCAATAGCTCCAGATCAAATATAAGGGAGGAGAGGGAAGATTTAATATCAATGTGGTTTTTCACCTCCATGAATGTCACAAAAAACTGCATCCAGGTAAAAACGGCTTATTGACAGAGCGCACCTCAAAGGAACACAGAAAAATACAAGCAAACACTCACAGCCTCCCTTACTGGTTGTCTAATGTTTCCTAAGGACAAAACTCATGTAAAATTTATGCTGACTGTGGGATAAAGCTGGGTTGCCTGAGACACAGATGAGGTCTCAGATGGAGAGATGAGAGGGAAGATCCCTTTGGAGATAAAAACGGAGAGCAACCTATATGGGCGTGTTTTTAAAAGATCAATTCTGTATTGAACTGGGCTGATTATGGCATCCAGACAACACAAAATGTTCAGAAAGGCTACAGCTGGATTAATTTTCGGATACTTACAATGGTAAATTTAAAAATAATAATCATATTACACTATCATGTGGAAAATGGAAGCTTTACAAAGCATAAATACTTACGAATTGACGCATAGAACAACAATGTTCTTCCACAGGTTCCTGGTGCCAACCATTCTCACGATGCATGTCTTTTTGGGTTTCTTTTGAAGTCCTCTTTGAAGCTCTAGAAACAAATGCATAAGGTTAAGAGTCATAACCTGCTCTTTATGTTCAAATTTGATTATATCATGATATTGTGTATATTTTTCTTTGCTAGAACAAAAGATTCTTCCTTCTAAAAAGGAAACTTCAGTCAACCGTTCCTCTAAACTGTATTTTCACTCGTACAGTGGTGTAAGGGTGCATGTGTGCCTTACAAACATGTTTGATGACGCCACATATAGAAAAAGCTCATTTCACACAGTGACTGACAGAATTATGGAGAATATATCCACATAAACAGATCTGCATGTTTACAATTTGCAACTCCCACCGCATATTTCTCTGCTGACATTCTTGCTCAAATGAGTCATGTTGATAGAAATCAAATCCAAGCTGACTTGGTTAAGCACTAGCCATAGTCACAGAGGAATTGTGAGTATTGATCCATTAATACATGCCAGGGGTTAATATTACTACGACTTTGCAATTCATCAATGCAAGTCCAAAATATCAAATGTGTCTTTTAGTTACCAGCCTTCATTATGCCTAAAAATCAGGCCAAGTTATATTACAATGCTGGCTGTAAGCTCTGTGAGATAGTCTAATATCTTATAGCGTTGGATCATTTAAAGCTGATCACATAGAATAAAATAAATATTGATAAAGCACTTTGGAAGAAACCCCAGTTACCCAAAATGTACATAACCTAACATAAATAAGAAAAAAACAAATAAATAAATCCAAAAACATTGATTATACATTTAACTGGGAGCCAGTGAAGCAAAATACTGTGGCTATTCATATAAAAGATCCAGTGCTTACCCTAAATAACTAGTGACCAGTTACAGAAAGACTGCCCTGGTATTAAAGCATCTGACTATTATGACCACATTTTATCAAATGTAATGTTTTACTGGGTTTTTTTTCAGGCACTAGATAAAGAAATCAAAAAATGTCAAACACAAATCTGACTTTACAAATCTAAAAGATTTGTAAAGTTTCTATAACGTTGAATAGTGACACTTCAAGGTGTGTCTGACAGATGCAATGTTTCTCATGTTACAGCAGAGCAAGCAGTCTGACCCGATACTGATCGGATAACAAACCATCATTTTTCACCCTTGAAAACCTTTACAATATTATAGACAATGAAAAATAAAGGAGCTTGAATGATTCCAGAAGTTTTCTTTAACACAGCTACGTGATCTGATTTTTCGAGAGCAGTGTTAGACAACAGTCTGGGTGCTTTGATGAGTCAAACAAGGACAGTCCTACTGTAATCCATCCACAAAAAAATTCCACATGCATTTTTAATGAGAGAGTGTCAACCCACACAGTTAGTCACCTGTTTCTGGTCTGACAGCGAGCAGCACCCCAGCCCCCCCGGGTGATACGTGACACGGCATACAGTTGATGTTTTGGTTTTGGACTGCAGGTTGCCGCAGAAACATAACACTAAAATGTGTTACTGTGCTGTCAAATTGACTCAAAAATGTGACGGCATTCTTTATCACCCCCTCAAGGTTATCTCTGGCTGATCCACTCCAGTGACTTATTGGCCAATCTTCAAATCCCTGAGTAAGATTATTCCTTCTTAAATCTCTGCTGATCATTCGGCTCATTTGCCAAAGATGGCCTTATCAGTGCTTACGTATGCAGCACTCAGGTGTGAATGCTAAAACTCTTCTTCTTTCGGAGAAGTAAGAGTGAGTAAGAGAAGTAAGTCAGTGTCCAACATTGAATTTGAAAAAGTTGAAGGGTGTTTGTCAGGGTTCAAGACAAGTAAAATTTCTATTCATATTTATTTACATTTACCTTATTTCAATGGCTTTTACTTAAAAAATATGCATCAGCATACGACCAAAATAGTGCAGTCAGTTTTACTCTTAATGGTTCCTCTGTCAGTCTTTTTTCCAGTAGTGCCACTTTTTGTTTTTCTAATCGATTGATAACTATGGTAACTGATCACAGGACAAAAGCAGAAAGAAAACAGCCCAGTAAGCAGCACAGTCCGAACTCAATGAAAATGCAATCTGCTTTGAAAACTGCACTGTTCTATCTGCTTCAGCTCCGCGTATTCTCCTGAGAAAAACAGATAGCCTGGGCAGAAAGTGTATGACCTGCCTCCATTTGCCGCCTGAACACCGTCAAGTCAGCTCTTTCCCCCTCGTCTAGGATATAATAAAATTAATTAATGTCTGAGAGTGTCATAATATAATGTTCAACACCCACTGCTAGCTCTTTAGGGACATGTCGCTATGGTAACGAGACAAGAAATCGAAATAGTCTTGTCAATCTGTTTCCGGCACAGCTGGAGAAACAAACACCATTGAAATCAAGAGAACAGCTTGATAGAAAGCAAATAGGCAAAGATCAAATGCACTGTGTTTGATTTAAATGTGCTAACCAGCAAGCAGCATAATGCATCGCTATTTAGTTTTACCTGTAAGGATGCTATCAGCATCAAGTTCCATGTTCGCTCGATTCTTCTTTGCAATGTGTCCCATGATCCATTTGGAGCGGCAGTACTGCTGAGTGGCCAGCAGCCAACGCAGTGACTCAGGGAAAATCCTGTTGAGGAGACGGGGGGGTTTTCCTCGTTAATGTGACATGAGGAATGAATCACAATGGGAAGAGCCCCTCTGTTGAAAGACTGATTGAAATCTCAGACAGAGATAACAATGCCACAGTATATCCTGTTCTGACAAACACAGGATAAAATGCAGAGCGGAAAAATGGTAAGCTTGTAAATGGCTGTTAAGATTATAAATTATATCCTATAAAGAAAATATACACACAAAGCATAAACACTCGGCTTTGTCTTGTTCGATTTGTGATAGTTTTCATATGGTATGCTCTGTTATGGAATGTTTTTATTACATTACTTTGTATATATGCCACTGAGGAGTCCAGAATCTGAATGTAAATATTAAAATAAACAATAAAATAACTCTTTGCCTTGAAAAAGTAAATCATTCAGTTAGTCCAATTGGGCTCTTTTCACAATTTACAAAATATCATGAATCTGGGATAGCAAATTCTTATGCCAAAGTGTTGACTGAATTTCAATTAATTGCACGAGCAGTTAATCTTGCCTTTGTTAAAGTGCAAGTTTAATTGCTGGTGCACTTCCCTGTTGTTCCCACAAATTCAGCTCTATCAGCTACGTTTCCTGTGTGCACAGATTAGTTCACTCGCTGTATTTGTGCAGCTGACCACTTTCAGTTTAGGTCCATAAACAAAGAATAAGAAAACACATCCCCGTTCGTTCCATAATTCCTTTAATTTTTTGTAGTTTAACCAAATCATTTGCATACCTGAGTTTGTGCTGTGTGGACAGGTCTATGTGGGTCAATGCCAGAGTATTGATCATAAATGACCAGATGGCCATGAATTACTCGGGTTGAGTTTATTGTGCTATGTGTGCCAATATTTGTGAAGGAAAGGCAAAGGTCTTACGAGCCACTCATTGTTTTATATTTTGTTGAATTTGAAACAGCAGGACCAAGATTGGATGAAAGCCAACTATTACAATTCCATTCAACTACTTAGCCACACAGCTGCTGAGACATGATCACCTTTGAATATATCTACACTTAGATTATATCTCCTTAGTGGTTTGGAATCTGTTTGTTCATCAAAGATCTCTGTAGCTTCCTGTGTGTTACAGGAAATGAGTGACAGTGGGGACAGATATTTAAGTTAATTGACTCAGGTATTACACAACTGGGATACATGCTATTTTACTGAAAATTATATTTCTGAGGGAAATGTGCTTTCTGTGCTACATTTACCCATCCCTGCTACCTTTGACGGTGAGAGTTGAACAAAATCTAAACTAAAAAACACACTTTAAATCCATACATTTCCAACCTTCTTGTCTTCAGACAATACAGTTAGTAATTGGGGCCAAAAAAATCTAAAAACTTTCAATTTGTCGTGTTGTTATACACTTTTGAACACAGACAGATAGCTTGGAGCCTAACAAGATAGATTCTTTCATTTATGTGACAGACTCCAGTGGCCAGAGCCAGGAATTAAATATAATTATTGGTTGAAAATGCATTAAAGTATCTGTTTTCGCTTTTGTAGTTAGAAATGTGCACTTCAAATTAGTTACCAAAAGACATATCACTGAGCTTGAAAATGTCCATAGAGTTCCAATTTTTTCCAAAACTGCTTAAATTAAGTTTAACAAGGTTCAAATTAGACTAATGTAACCCTAGATAACCTGTGAAGATTTGCAGTGCACCACAATGGTTGGAAATAAAATGGATTTTATTCCTACTTTTCAAAACACAACAGTTACAGAAACACAGCTTGTTACCACATTGCTGCACTCTTTCGGGGACTTTTCCTTACCAAATGTAGGACAGCATAAGCAGCAGGGGACAGATGATGACAACTTGAAGTACCTGCCAGTCGCGACAAAGGTACGCCACACCGGGCATGAGAAGCTGACCACCCAGAACCACAAAACTGGCCACCATGGTCATGGAAAATCGCCATCTTGGCAGGCACAGCTCAATTCCTGGCAGAGAGAACAAAGAGAAACTAAAGAAATGAACAAAACCATTCTGCTTTTGGTGTTTTAGTTAATAAGCTGTGGACATATTTTTAAATTAGGGATGCATAGTAACAATACAGCAAACACCCTGTCAGTGAATATGGCTTATTGGCCATCTCAACAGCCATTTGCACTGAAAACCCATCCTTTCAAATTTAAGCATTTTGAGAGGAAATTCCTGTAGCTTAACAAAAAAACTGAACAAGCATTTCTTTCTGATCTGTGAAAAAAAAATAAAAAATCAGCAGCATGTGGAATTTAACATGTAACTTAATTGGATAAGGAGTCTTCAAATGATATAAATGCAAAAACAACAAGATTTTGCAAAAAACATTGATTATTTACTGCCATGCAAACATTGTGAGTTTTATTTTTTAAAAGATACGAATTCTGCACAAAGTCTGGTTGTTCCTCATGTTAAAACAGCTAAGCATAGCTGATGAATGAACCAGTGAAACAGAACACACCCATGAAGGTGAGGCAGACAAGCAAGAACACACATCCTGGCAACGACGCTGTTCATGTCTTTCTGACTCTCTCAGCCAAACTCTAAGTAATTTATTTCCTAAACCTATTCCACCATTGCTGTGTAAACGTATAAAATGAAAAATGTGAACTATCTATCTTTTCCTAAACAGTTGAATATAACAACAGAATGGAACTGAAATGTAAAGAATTTATTGTTTGCTTTTGTTTTAGAACATCTTTCAAATATACCCTAAATTAATCACTGTACAGTTGTTTAGACAATCCACAGACAACAACAGTAAGCTACTGTGAGGGTGAAGGAACTAGAAAGAGGTTCCTTGTACTGATTTCTCTGCTGTCGGAATGGCACTGATTCATTCTTCATTAGCATGCACACCACATTGGCAGCCAGAAACCCCAGAGTCCAGGCCTTAAGTTACTGCAAGATGGGGGACCGGTTCCCATCAAACCACAGAAAATGAACAATACTGTAAGGCTGCTATTGTCAGCTTTGCTTTTGTCCAGCCTTATTTATCCCTTTTTCTGCTAGACCTCTGCTTTGTCATAATGGGTCTCCTCGCTTTGGATGGGCCTTTCAAGGTGACAGGACCGGCTTAATGTTGTAGATGTCGGCGGTCTGCTTCATTCCACTGGAAAAGACAGGAATTTCAATTAGGAGTTGCACCCCTCTGAGGGCATGAATAACTCTCTCTGTTTGCAGACACTATCGCAGCTGGAATGACAAAGCCAATGAGCAGAGAGCGAGGCGATGGGTCCGGGACCCGCTAAGTTTGAACCAACTAACCTCAGGACTCCCTCTCTGTGTGCCGCTGGGAGAAAGTTGGCGGTTCACTAGTAATGGAACTGCATGGGATTTGAATTCTTTGGTTATGTATAAGACGTCATGTGCACCGAACAGGCCACTGTATTGTGAACAGTTCCCAGGGGTGAACTGTGGCTAAATACTAACGAGTGCCAAAGTACAGACAGTTATTATAAGAGACGACAAATTAAAGTGGAAAAAAGCTTAAATCCGCAGTATGTAGTTACTCTGTGATGCTGTAGGGCTCATCTTGCTGAAAGGATTTAGATTGTCCCCTTAATAACTTACTGAAATAATTGTTTTTCTGTTATTTAGTAGCTCCCTGTATATACAGTTGAACTAGGCTGAACCTCGTGTATGATGACCAGAGGCTGTAAATAAGGCCTGAGCTCCTTACTCCTGGTGACCCTAATCCTCTAACAAACCTTTAGATCAGCATTCTCCCAATGCTCTGTTGTACCCACTGTCCCATTGACATAAATAACAAATAACTAGTTGTTTAAAAGTTGCTGATCAAGAGCGTGTAGAAGGAAAAGACAAGTAGCATATACCAACTGAAAAACCTCTTTAAATGAAGAAATACCGATTACAGTGTGTGTAAAAATGACATCATCCACAGTCGGCCCATAGCCAATTAGCAAAGATGATAATCCCCAAAGAAGCTTTGACTGGTTTGCTGACTTTGGCAATAAAGGAAAATGAGCCACACTGCTGTGCAAGTTGAAGTAGCTCCTAGACTTTTGTCAAATACAGAGCATAACCAGGTAAGCCCATTGTTTCACCTGTAAAAGGGGTGGCTTTACAACTACAGGCACTAGGTGCAGCCACTCCTTACACACAGAGGCTGATGACCTTTTGTCCGTCACATGGAGTCCCTGGCCCTGTGCCATGATTGCTCCTTCTAATCCTGCTTTCTTTATTTGTAAAGCATAGGGATAACAATCATAATGCTTCAATCATGATGATAATATAGATAAGGAAATGATGATATTTTTACATTTTTAAATGAAAAATCAAGAAATGTGTATACCAACTGCACCAGCATCAAAATCCAGACAGAATAATGAGGAAATCGCTACCATCCAAAAATGATGCCCCTGCTCTTTTAATGTCTCTCACCCCTGCAGCTGTGATTTACTGTTCTCCAGGGTGAACTGCACATTTGTGCTGAACCACCTCGCTTATTTCAGTCAGCAGTCAAAATAGTCTGGTGTCTGCTACATAAATGGTGATGGGGTAAATACACCCATTAGAACAAAAACTGAACCATGGATTGCAACATGGACCAACACATGTTTTCAAGACAGCATGTTTCTATGTTTACAGTGCAAAACAAGTAATAAAGAGACTAAATAATATCCCCAAAAATATTCAGAAAAGATAAATCACCCAGTGTTCATAAGTCACAGCAGAGCAACACAACACAACACAAAACAAGACTGAAATGAGCCAACATGAGACTGTATCAATGCTACTTGTCTCATGACACATGGACCTTAGCAATGCAAAGAATCTATCAATCCTGAACAGACCAGCAATACAAGTTGTGCAAGCTGCAAGAGCACAACTATTGCACAACTGAGCTACTTTGCATGTGGCGCCGTTCTAAACAGCCACACTTCCAGATGATGTGACATGTCTTTAATGACAAAGAGGAGAATTTGACAGTCTGCAACCCTCTCTCGGTTTGGATGTAAAAAGATACCAATGCATTAACACAATGCTCACATTGGTCCTTAAGTAAACGAAGATCTGTGATCTGGGGCATATCACATTAATCAAACCTGGTACCCTCTCCCATTATTCAACACAATTCAGCGTAAGCCTGCAGTTTTTGAAGCAAAAACCAACAGAAACCTATGTGGTGGGTGAGCTTTGCATTGGAGAAGAAATCAGTTAGTGCTGTGGTGACTGTATAGTCCTGTTTGAGTCATCTGACTGTATCAGGAATGTCTTAGAATAGTTCAATGTTCTGAAGGCCGTCTTCATACTCCAGTAGAACAAAACCACCTGAGAGGCCCTGGCAGAAAGCCAATGCACTGATGGAGTATGGAAACACTTGTGCTGACGAGGTCAAAGGCCTTTTTTAGATCAATTAAAGGGATGATGAAATGGCCTTCCTTGCTTATTGGCATTTGTTTCACAGCTTTAATACTAAGAGTGCCTTGTTGGTTTTTGCCATTTAATGTTCTTAAAATAAATGTTCAGGACTTAATTGCAGTTTATTCCCATTTAATCCGACAAATAACAGTCAGTTCAGTTCAGCGTGTTACCCTCAGTTAGAGCATTGAAAATGAGTCGTGGCTGGGTCTTCCAACATGACAATGAGCCGGAGCACACAGCCAGTACAACCAAAGTGGCTATGTAAGAAGTGTATCAAGATTCTGGAGTGGTGTAGCCAGTCTCCACATCTAAACTCTCCAGAAAATCTTTGGAAGGTGCTCAAACTCCGTCATTCTCAGCGACAGCCCAGAAACCTGACTGATCTGGAGAAGATCTGTGTGAAAGAAAGGGCCAAATTCCCTGCTGCAGTTTGTGCAAACCTGGTGAAAAACTACAGGAAACATTTGACATCTGTAATTGCAAACAAATTATAAAGTACCACATATTAACACTGATTTTCACAGGTGTTCAAATACTTATTTGCAGCAGTAACACAATTACAGTATTAAAAAATTATACCTTGTTATTTGCGGATTTTCTATTTTATTTTTCAGATTGTCTCTCACAGTGGACATGCACCCAAGATTAAAATTTCAACCCATCCCCCCCATTATTTCTATGTGGGAGAACTTGCAAAGTCGCAGGGTATTCAAATTCTTATTTTCCCAAATGTATAGTGGCTGTGTTAGCACACAAACATCCCGAAGTATCTTCCACTCTTCCTGCCTGCAAGCACAAAAAAGAGCTATTGACTTAAAAAAGACCCCACTCATTGATTAGCGTCTTATCTTGAGTTGCACAGCATGCCAACTAGCACTAACTAGCCACAAGCACTTTCCTTTGATCTATTACTGCAGACATTTTTTGCATTCAGGTCAGTAAAACACTATCAGGGGAGTACTTCCTTTCGATGACGTTTGCTTGCTATCCTTCCACTTCACTAATCTGTCACCTTCCCTTCACACTAAGAAAGTCTATTTCAAAACTACCTATTAGGTTTCAGAAAGTTGCTATCTGGGCATAGAGTGACTGATAATCAACTGAGATGAATTGGGTAGACCAAAAAATAAGATCAAATAAACACTTGAACCTGACAGAAGAACTGAACAAGCATTCCTCTTTTTAACAACTTCCAGAGGAAAGTGCAAAGTCTGTCAAAGCTGACTTTGAATATCACTGGACTTCAATCAGGATTAGACGCGTGATATACCTTGAGGTTATGTCATGCGTCACACAGCAGAAGGGTAAAAGAAAAAAAAAAAAAGCCCTTTGGCCTGAACTCACAGACACATGCACACACATTTAATAATAGTTCATGAGTCTTCTTTTTAACTGGAAACGGTCTCGAAAAAATCCTAAATGTGGACGTGGCCTTACCTAATATGTACAAAGTAACATTTAGACAGAGAAAGTTTGCTGAGCAACCACAAAAAAAGCACGCTCTGCAGAAAAATGAACTTCAACCCTGCTCAGAGTGGAAAAAAGGAAGAAAAACTGGGTGTGCACCTTA